ACGGATATGGTGGGAAGTCATGCCGAAGAAGGTGGGTAGCCCCAGATCCAAAGATGAGGTACCCAGGCAACCCCTGTTTGGTAATCCATGGGTAAGAGACGAAAGTGATCACCAACTATACTTAAGCCTAGAGGAAGGAGATGGCTATCGTGGATCAAACATGGATCAAACATGGAGTTTGGAAAGTGAGCCATGTGTGGAACGAGGAGAAAAAGGACTGGGTGACAGAACAGGAACTTGCCTCCCAGCTCAAAGGATGTCACCGATGAGACGAGAATCTACAATCCATTATCAACTGCATCCCAGAAGGCTGGGAAGTAGTTGTTGAGCGAAGCCTCAACCTGGAAATCGGGTGAATGGGGAGTAAGGGTCTAGGATTTAACCTCCTCAAGGGCCTATCAATTCTCCCATAAACAGCAAGGGTCGGATACCCTGGCGGTGTTTACCTCTTTCCCAATTACCCCTTCCAAGCAGGACACTAATCAGATCCCAGAAATACCATGGAAATTTTTCAAGTCAATCCGTACAATCATAATCAGAAGCCTCCAATGGCTCATCTCATACGTGGCTCTACCAGTTAACCAGTGGCTGCATATCAGAAGAAGTAAGAATGACCCTAACAATTCAGATTTATGAGCAACATATTCAGAAAATGAACCAGAACATATGCTACATTGGCTGATACACTGTAGAGAGGCGACAGAATATCTCTTGGATTCCCTCTTCGGATTCGGATCTCTGGGACTCCCTCTTCTCTACTCTCCTCCCTGAACACCCCATCCATCTCTTATGGACTAACATCCCAGCTCAATTCCACAAGACAAAGAAAACGTGGTTTGGAATGATGAGAAAGGTAACGCTGCGGTCCATCTGGAAGGAAAGGTCTGCAGAACCATTGAGGGACTCTCAACTCCAAGGGAGAAGGTATGGGCGGAGACAAGGACCTTGATTCAGGCAAAGATTCTTTGTAAGTGGCATAAGACAAGACATTCCATACGAGTTGAATAAAGAGCAACAGAAAAGAATCAAGGCAAATTATACTACGAGTAAACTTTTCAAAGTGCAATTCTCAATAGATATTTCAATCTACTATTCAAAATCACTTTGAAAAGAAAGATAGATTTAGAATTAGATAGATAGTGGTTTGCTGGGGGCAAAGTAGCAGAGATAAATGACTTCCGCATATGGTGGAGAAGGCAGAGATCCCATACACCAGAAGGACAAGATCCATCACAGGCCACATAATGTTAAAGGGTGAATACCGAGATTGCATCTTCAGTAGCTTCTTTTACCTTTCTTGCTCTTTAGCTTTATCTGACAGGTCCATGCACTGACCTGAGAGGAAAGGTGAAAATAAGCCAAGCTGACAGTCAATCCTCCACGATGCAGGAGAAATCAATGCTGGTCAGGGTTCCTTTGGCCGGACGGAAGTGTGAGTGTGTTTCATGATGTAATATTTTATTCGGAGTTGCTGGTGGAATAGGAACCGGACTGATGCTTCCCAGAATGGAAGTGGAGCCAGGGGGGGGGGG